TGTCTTGGAGGAAGAGGCTGTCTTCCCGAGCAGGGAGCCTAGAAAGGCTGGCACTGATGCCCTCAGCTGAGGGATGGCCCGGCGCAGCGGCCACAGAGGCCCCGAGCACGGCTTCCCCCCGGAGCGGGTTTATTTGTTCAAGCGCCTGGCCCGGCCATCCCGTGGGGCAGGGCATGTGTTTCTGGCTCTTTCCTTCCAGCCCCAGAGCTCTGCGGGCTGGGTGTGCACAGACCCTCTCCCTCTTCTCTCCGTGGGCAGGAAATGTGAGAAAACAGCCCCTAGGTCTGTCCCCTGAGCCCGCACCTCTGGCCTCTGAGCGTTTGCTTAACCACAGCGCCGGCTCTGCAATGTCTGGAACGGACCCCGGGCAGCTCTGTGGGATCTGAGGAGGCCTGAGCGGAGGTCAAGTGGCCAGGCCCCAGTGGTACCACTGACCAGCTGTGGGGTCCTGGGGCAGCCACCACCTGCATCATTTGGTTGTCTAGGAAGTGGAACCAAAAATATTCCCTGCCTCCCAGAGAGAGCGCAGGACAAAGAAAGATGGCCAGCGTGTACTTACTGTGAGCTAGACACTGCTCTCTGTGCCTTGAGAATTATTCCATTTCATTCTCACAACAAGACTATGAAGCAAGGTTGTTTCCCATTAATGGATGGAGAAACTGAGGCACCAAGTGGAGCCATGACTTGCCCCAGGCCGCATGGCAAGGAAGGGTGAGGAGTCACACTCATACACGCCAGACACCCTCCCACCTCAGGCCTTTGCCCTTGTCTTCCCTCCTGACTGTCCACAGCGGGCCCGTCTCACCCTCTCAGCTCAGGTGAGGGCTCCCCTCCGCTCTGGCTAACCGTGCCCTCGAGCCCAACCATCACTCCCTCTTATTCTCGTCATATCACTCGTCACTCCTGGAATTTAACTGGTGGATTTAGTGGCAGTGCCCTGGAATCAGGTAACTTGCCGATTTTGTTCATTCCTGATTCCACAGCGCCTGGGAAAGCACCTAGCACGTAGTAGGTACTCAAGGAATAACTCCTGACAGAACACATGAATGAAACTCAGGGTGGGGATTACTTTGAGGAAACGTTTTTATTATTATAATATATATGGGATGTTTGAAAGAACTTTGTGTTGGTGGGTTTGTTTGTTTTTATTGTATTTTATTCCATATTCAATGAAATTCACCCTTTTAACATATAGTTTTATGAGGTGTTTTTTGTTTTGTTTTGTTTTTAATCCTTACCTGAGAATATTTTTCCATTGATTCTTAGAGAGAGTGGAAGAGAGAGGGGAAGTCAGAGAGAAATATCGATTGGTTGCCTCTTGCATGCACCCCGACCAGGGCCCAGGCTGGGAGAAGCCTGCAACCAAGGTACGTTCCCTTGACTGGAATTGAACTCGGGACCCTTTGGTCCGCAGGTCAACGCTCTATCTACTGAGCCAAACCGGCTAGGGCTGTTCTATGAGTTTTGACAAATGTGTACAGTCCTGTAACACCACCACAGTCATGATACAGACATTGCAAACTCCAAAGAGTTCTTATCACCCTTTATGGTCAGTCCTTGCCCCCAGGCCTGAGCCCCTGGCAACCACGGATTCTGACTTTTCCAGAAAGTCATATAAATAAGCCAGACAGTGTGTAGCCTTTGAGTATGCAGGCTTTGTTCACTCAGCAAAATACATCGGAGAGTCACTCAGGTTCCTGCAAGGCTTCCTTTACGTTGCTGAGCAGGGTCCATTGGATGGATGGACCCAGGTTGTTCATCTGTTCACCAGTTGAAGTCTTCTTTATTTAAATACTGAGGAGGAAAAGGTGTGAGAAGATTTCCTTGGCTCCCAACACTCATCCACAGACACTCATCCGTTCTCTTTCCGAAATCTGCTTCTTCTTCCTCAGCCCCAGCCCCTGCCTGTCAAGGCTCTTTCCCTTTCTTCCAAGGCCCTTTGCAAGTGCCCTCTCCTCAGTGAGGAGCAGGGTTTCCTGTCCCCATGTCCCAGGGTGGGGAGTGAGCTCAGAGCAGCAGAGGTCTAAATGACCAGAGGCCAACCGCTGGAGGGAGCAGAGCCAGAGCTCAAACCCAGGGCCAGCGGGGAAGGAGTAACCCAAGGGCCAAAGATCAGCCTCTTTGCAGACTGGAGGGATGCTGGGAGTCCAGGCCCTCTTTCCCCATCTTAGCCCTAAAAATGTGCCAGCATGAGGGTGAGAGAGCAGGGGGAGGTCTAATGGTGGGGTGGGAAGAAGCTGTGGCCGATCCCATCACCTGCGGGTACCTTCATTGGGATCCCTCCCCCACCCTTTCAGCCGGCTCCTGAGCCCTGGTATAAACCCAACCCCCACCACTCAGGCTGACATCAGTCACCAGACTCTCACCTTGGCCATACTGGGCCCATCTGGCCTGCATTACCCATCCCAGAACTCGCAATGGTGGGTGGGTGGGTGTGGCAAATGAGATAATGAGCCCCAGCTGTGGGTAGGCTTTGTCCCACTCAGCCACTTGCAGCCAAAGGACCAGTGAGAGACCAATGAGGGAGTTCCTGTCACTCAAGATGACCCTCAGCTACCCTGAGATCCTCCCCAGCTCTGTAGCCCGGGGGAAGCCCCTGAGCAAGGAGCCTTGGAACCTAGCCCACCAAGTAGTGACCTTGGGCAAGCCTTCTGGGCCTCGGTTTGTCCATCTGCAGTGAGAGGCTTGGGGGATGCCTGCAGAGGCCTTAGGGCAGGAATGGACTTGCTGCCTGAGAGTGTGGGGCAGAAGCTCAGGGCCTAGGAGTCCTGGGGGTGGGGGGGTGCACAGGATTCAACAGAATAGGTTATATTTTTTCTTGAGCGTGGAAAATACACTTTTTTGTATTATTTATTTTTTTATTGGATTATTCTTTATGCTTTTTTTTGTATGTGTGAAGTACACCATAATAATGTTGTTAAATTTTTTAAGGTGAGGGTAAGAATGGAGGTGAGAAAAGGGAGACAATTTGCTCAAGAAGTTATATTGTTGAGGGGACCAGAGAAATTGGAGGCATAGTTGAAGGGATCGGGGGGGTCCAAGATTTTTTTTCTTTACTTTTAATTTTTATTGATTTTTAGAGAGAAACAAAGGGAGAGAGAGAGAGAGAGAAACGTTGATCTGATCAGCTGCCTCCTGCACACCCCCTGCCAGGATGGAGAGCCCACAACCAGGGCATGGGCCCAGGGAATCGAACCGGTGACCTTTCGGTGCACAGGGCAATGCCCAACCAACTGAGCCACACCAGCCAGGGTTTTCTTCACCTTTCACATGGGAGCTGTTGAAGCATGTGTGTGTGCTGCAGGGGACCGTGGGCTGGGGGCTGAGGGTGCAGGGAAAGAAGGGGGCGCCGAGGGGACAGGGGCTTGAGGAGCTCAGAAGTGCTTGTCTCCCTGGTGCTCAGCCCACTTGGTGACCTCTGCACTCAGGGTCCTCCCACTTGAGTGTCAGACCCACCCGGAGGGCTGGTGCCACCCCAGAGTTCCTGGTTCGGTGGGTCTGGGGTGAGACCTAGAAATGTGCATTTCTAACGAACTCCCTGGGGATGCTGTTTCAAGGGCCACACTTTGAGAACCACTGTTGTAATCAATACCAGTGCGCCCAGATGCACCCTCTTCTGGATTTGACCTTGCACTACAATAGAAGATGCTCCTTCAAAAGCACGCTGGGGAGGGAATGGGAGCAGACAATTGAGATGGCAGAGGGGAGAAGAGATGAAGGAGGAAGCAGCCAGAGCCTGGGCCCCCAGCCAAGGTTACCACCTCTCTCTGGGGAGAACCAGTCTTCCCAGGCGCCCTGGGAGCTGCCCTGTGGGACCTCCGGGAAGACTGAGGGAGGAAAGAAGCTGGGAGTGTGTGTGTGGAGGGGGCGGGGGGCGTGGCAAGAGGCCAGCATGTGTGCAGAATGGAGAGGGAGTGCAGGAGGGGCCCTGGGCCCTGGGACACGCGTTCACCTTTGCAGCTTGATCCTGGTGTCTCTGCCAGCCCAGCTCCTCCTGCTCTTGGGGGAAAGGCAGTCCTGTCAGGAAATGAACATTACCTTGGGGGATCCCAGAACTGTCAAGCTGGGAGAACCCTTGGAGACAGGCCAGCTCAGCCCTGTGTGGCAGATGGAGAGGGCCAGGAAAATAAAAGTCCAGTTTGGCAGATGGACCTGCAAACTCTTATACGAGGAAAGATGTGTCCCACTCTCTGCTGCGGGCTCTCCCCTAGGAAGCTGGGTAATGGGCATGACGGTGGGGGCTGTGCTCTGACCCTGGCTGCTCCCCCTTTTCTATCAATTCATTGAACACTTATTTATTGAGCACCCAGCATGCGATAAGCATTCTGCTAGACATGGAGAGAAAGCGGTGAGCAGGACCAAATTTCTGGCTTCGTGGAATTGACATTCCAAGGGTAAAGCAGGCAATAGACAGAGAAATATGTAATATAAAGTCAGAGATTGATAAGTGGTAAGAAGAGACCTGAAACGACATGAGGGAGTGAGCCATGTGATGAGGATGGTGGGTAGAGACTTCTCCATGCAGAGGGAACAGCACATGCAAAGGCCCTGAGGTAGGCACACGCTTGCTGTGTTGGAGGGATGTCACAGAGGCCAGTGCCTTTGGAGCGAGGGAAGAAGTGAGGACTAAAGAGGAAATCAGAGTGGCGGCAGGAGGCCAGGTCATGCGGCAAGCTGCAGGCATAGCAGACTTTGCCTTTCCCTGTGAGTAAGGAAGGAACCTGGGAGAGGGTTGAGCGGAGGGAGCATGTGATCTGACTTAGTTTAACAGGATCCCTCTGGCTGCTGAGTGGAGGATGGACTAGGCAAAGAGGGACAAGAGTGGAGGCCGAGAAGCCAGGGAGAGAGCTGCTGGAATAGTCCAGGCGGGAGGTAATGGTGGCCTGGCATGGCAGGGAGGTCTCTGCTGGTTGTTCTATGTCCTTCGTGGAGACATATGAAGGGGCAGGAGCCTTCCCCCCGGCCCCTCGCCCATGACCCCGCCCATGGTCTCCCCACAGCTAGAAAGGTACATCCAGACGAACTTGAGGTCGCAGCTGGCGCAGGCAAGGCAGCACGTGGTCCAGAACCAGACGGCCGCCGTGCTGGAGCTAGGCACCAGCCTCTTGAACCAGACCACCGCCCAGGCCCACCGGCTGACTGACATGGAGGCTCAGGTACCAGGGGGTGAGCGGGTGGCATCAAGGGGCCTGCGGCCAGCCAGGCTGGCTCACAGCCCAGGTCATCTTGCCTTGACCTCTGTTCCTGGGTCATGTCAGGGCCTCCTCTGGGCCTGCATCCTCCTGGGGCCCCTCCTGATGACCCTGTCCCAAAATTGCCTCCCACCAGGCCACGAGTCCTAGGGGGGACACTGGCTCTGGCTCCTGGGCCTCTGTGACCCTAATGCTCAGGTCTGTGCTGGGCACTGGGCTGAAGGGGACAGCACACTCCGCTGCCCTCAGGGGGCTCACAGTGCTCCGGGGGAGATGGGAAATAAACAATTTATTAGACCTCAGGGGGCCACTGACTGATTGAGGAGAGAGCTGTATAAATGGGAGGGTGAGTACAGAAATGGATGAAAAGGTGACTGACAAATGGGCATGGTTTGTTGAAGCCCTACTATGTGCCAGGCACGGCTGGAGGGGCCCGGTACTAGTTTATAGCATTAAATAAAACAGGTATGCGTTCCTACCCTCATGGAGCTTCCTTTCTAAGGAGGTTCATGAACATAAACAGGATAAACAACATATATGTGTCAGGTGGTGATAGTGCTAAGGAGACAACAGCATGGGTGAGAGCAATGGGAGTGTGTGGTGGCAGAGGCCAGCGGGGTGAGTTGCAGGTTTAGACCGTGAGGCCAGGAAAGCACCACTGAGCAGGTAGGATTGGAGCCTTTACTAGGAATGCAGCCCAGACTGGGAAAACAGCATGTGCAAAGGCCCAGAGAGGGGACCAGGCTGACAAGCTCCAGGAACATCAAGAAGGCTAGTGTGACTGGAGTGGCAAGGGAGCAAGTGGTGGGCCAGGGGTCAGAGAGGCGAGAGGGGCAGATGGATCACAGGCCCCCTCCAGAGGGTGAGAGCTGGGCTTTCTCAGTCAGGATGTGGGAGCCACGGAAAGACTTTGAGCAGAGAGTGGACTGTAGGGGACAAGGACAGGAACAGGGAGCCCAGGGAATAAGCTGGCACAGGACACAGGGTGAGAGATGACGAAGACCAAGCCAGAGTGGGGTCCATGGACAGGGAGGAGAGTGGTCAGTAGCCATGTGGAAGATGGAGCTGATGGGACTCGCTGATGGATGAGATGTGGGGGTCAAGCCTGAGCAGGGGGAATGGAGCTGCCATGTGCAGTGATGGGAAGAGCAAATTTAGAATGAAGATCATAAGCTCAGTTAGGGCCTGTGAGTGAGTGAATGAGTGAATGAATGAATGAACAACCACGGGAACTAACTACAGGGAGGGTGAAAACAGATCAGCAAGTTTTAGGGATGGCAGAGCCCGTGGGCAGGTGGGCAGTTGCTGGGAAGGCCTCCTGCAGGGCTTACGTGGCCCCCGCCCCTTCCTGCTCGCCGAGGCAGGTACTGAACCAGACATCAAGAATGGAGATCCAGATGCAGGAGACCTCACTGTCCACCAACAAGCTGGAGAAGCAGCTGTTTCTACAGGGCCTTGAGCTCCACCGGCTACAGGACTACAACAGGTGGGCGCTGCCCCCGGGCCAGCAGAGGGGCTGGGGCCCAAGCTGAGGGCCAGGGCTGGGCTGGAGCCAGGGCCAGGGTTGGAAGCTGGATGTGGGCTAGTGCCTGGGACAGGGGCTGGGACAGAGCTAGAGGCCTAGATTAGAACTGGAGTGAGGCATCATTTGGGGGCTAGGGCTGGAGCTAGAGCTGGGGCTAGGCCAGGGCAGTGATATGGACTAAAATGAGGGTTGGAAACCCATCTGACCTTGGAGGGAAGGTGGACACGGGGCTGGACTGAAGCTGGAGCTGGGGGCCAGGCAGGTACAGGGCCTGGGTGGGGACAGGCATTTTCCTGGAGCTCAGAGCACCCTGACTCTTTCTTTCTCCCTCCTTCCTTCCTTCCTTCTTTGCTTCCTCCCTTTCTTCCTTTCTCCATTTATATTTTGTAAATTTTTAACAGCTTTATTGAGCTACAATTTATGTACCATACAACTTACCCTATAAATCTTCACTTGATTTATTTATTTGTAAAAAAAGATAATAATAAATCTGATCCCATTCACCAATTTCCCTTCCCAGAAGCAAGCACAGTTAGTTACCAATTTCCTGTCTGCATGGTAGAGAGTCTCTGCATTTATCAGCAAATACGTATGAGGGAACACCCTTCAAATTACAAAGAAAAAAGAGTCATGGGGTACAGCTGAGGCAGACATCCAAGGCTGATTTCATCTCAGTTTCGAGCTGAGTAGAGAAAAAACTGCCAGGGCCAGGGTGCTGGAGGAGGCAAAACGCACACACAGAGGCCGCCACAGGCCTGTGTACACGGCGAGGTGTTATTGTTGCTCATGTGATGGGTCAAGATAAGGCCGCGAGGACCGCCCAGCCCCCTCTGATCTGGGTGCAGTTAATGACAGTTTGTCACCTTCTTATTCTTACCCTCCCACCCCCAGGTGGGGCAGGGCAAAGACTGGGATGCTTTCCATCACTCTGAATTGGCACCAGGTGCCTAGAAGTCAGTGCAGATGGATGGCGTCAGTTAGCTCTTGGCCCTTGGAGATAGCTAAAAGTCTAGAATCTGAGTGAGCCCAAATTCCCTCTCTTCCTGCAACAGAGGTCCTCAAACTTTTTAAACACGGGGCCAGTTCCCTGTCCCTCAGACATTCCACACATGCTCACTGTGGGCCCGGGACGAGTCGGCTGCTAAACAGGACAGGCAGCAGCAGCAAAAACACCCGGGGGGCCGGATAAATGTTTTCGGCGGGCCGCATGTGGCCCGCGGGCCGTAGTTTGAGGACCCCTGTCCTGCAACATAATTAGGGACCCAGGGGAAATTCCCTCTGCCCTGGCTGGGCTTAGTGTTTTAGCCTGGAGAATGGGTCAGCATGACCTCACATATAAGAAAATCTCTCCCTTTCCCTTTCCCTCAGCCACCCACCCACCTGCAGCAGAGGGCACCACTGTTCCTAGTTTTTTGTGTGTCCTCCCGTCATTCAACCAACAATATTTGGGGGAGAGGGGAAGGCATTATTTTTTGAGCTCTTACCATGTGTCAGGCACTATTTATAGACCCAGGGGTTAGAGAAGTGAACAAATAAACAAAAATCCTAGTCCTGGTAGAACGGACATTCTAGAAGCTGGTGTAAGAAGGTTTCTTATAGATGAATATTTAATGTGTGGATATAAATATGTATGAATTTTGCCCTACTGAAACCCAAACGTGGCCGCCTACTCTTTTGTACCTTGGTTTGGGGATTGGCTGGTTTTCCCAGTGACCCTGGAAATGGTTCTATAAGTGCATGACACCCCTGCTCATTCTCTTCTCCTGTCCCTGCATTTATTTCCACGTCCCCAGTTAATGGGTGTTGAGGTTGTTTCCAATTTCTGGCAGTTGAGCCAGTGATGCGATGAACAGCATTCCATGTCTCAGATCTGTGGGATAGCATGCCAAACCTGGAAGGGATGCGTCAAAAGCCTCTTTCTTTCAAAAAATTTTTTTTCCAACTCATGACAAAAAGGCCTCATGCTTGTATCACCAGACAATAGAGACCTGTGTAAAATGAAAGGGAACGCCGGCCCCCTCCCCCAGCCCCTCTCCCTCCCCCTCCCCCATCTCCATCCACTCAAGCCCACTCTGCAGCAGGAACGGCGCTTAGTGGATTCTTTCGCTTTTTCTTTCGCTTTTTCTACCACGCAGGCAGGCACCACCGCGTCCTGCCACGTTTTTCCGCGCCTTTTCCTATAAGTTCACCTGCAACCCTCCACATTTACACTAATGCTTTTCTTCTTTCTCTCTCTTTTATTCTCCCGCGTGTGGGGTTACACTAGAGGCATTGGTGTGCCTGGGGCATTCCTGGCCAAGTCCTGGGCATCCTTCCATCCTGTGCAGGTGATTCTGCCTCCTCCTCTTCGTGGCTCCCGAACATTTCCAGGAACAGCAGACAGAACAGACTCAGCCAGCCTTGGCTGCTGGGCACTTGGGCTATTTCGTTTTACTGTCACCACAACGCCCCCGACGGCCTCTGCTCCTGGACGGTCCTTCCTGAGCGGGGACTGCCGGGCCAAAGGCCAGCAGATGGGGATTTGATCGTGGCTACTGGTTCCTGGCATGTTCCTCCCAGCCCCACCTTTCCCTCTGCTGGACCCAGCTCTCTCTCACAGGACTGAGTCTCTCTCTCCTCCATTTCTCACTCTGGGCCACGGGCCTCTGAGCTTTGCAACTCTGGCTGGATGCTCTGCCTCTCTGAGCCTCAGCGCGGGTCTGTCCTGCTGAGTCACCGGGGCCCAGGGGAAAGCGTCCAAGTGTGGCTGCCCGTGGGGAAGGCGGGCTCACCCCTGTGCCCCCGCCCCGGCCCGCCCCGCAGCGCGCTGGAGACCCGGCTGCGAGCCCTGGAGACACAGCAGCAAGCGCAGCTGGCCAGCCTGCGCCAGGAGAAGGAGCGGCTGGGGAGCCTGCTGAGCCGCCAGAACGGCGCCCTCGCCGGCCTCGCGCGCAGCCTGCGCGCTGCCAGAAGCAACTCCAGCCTCCTGCTGAGGCAGCAGGACCGACTGCTGGAGTCCATGAAGCGCCTGCTGCGCACGGTGGCCCAGGGCCCGCGTGAGCAGGGTATGCCCGGTGCGAGAGGGCGGGGGTGGGGGTGGGGGGGATGGGTCAGATCCTGCTTACCCTCCCTGTTCATTCCCCAGCCTTGGCCTCGAAGCCACCGAGGGAAAGGCCTCACCCCTCTCCCACCACCTGTGAAATAGAAATAACAGCAACGAATAATAATACTGGTGACCACAGTCCTAACAGGAACCAATCCAGACTCTTCTCCCTGGCTCCACGAGGACCCCTGGGCATGCCCCTGTCCCTCTCTTGTCCTCAGTTTCCCCGTCTGTTTAATGGAAATGGTGATAATAACAAGGGCACCACCAGCTTAGATGAACAACTTTGGATTTCAGGATTCCCACTTGCTGGGTCTCAGTTTCCCTACCTGTAGAATGGGGAGGTTAGACTCAATGTTCCCCCAAAGGCTTCTCTCATCCTAACACCCTTGCCCGTGAGCCAACGAGGGCCAAAGAGAAGTAAGGTGGCACCTCTGGCCCTGACTTCTGAGAAGGAGAACAGTGCCTGGGCCTGCGCCTCAGTCCTCACCGGCTCCTTCTGACGGGTCCACCGGGGAGGCCAAGGCGCTCCTGGTTCCAGTCCAATCACTCAGTCAACAAACACTTCCTGGGCGCCAGGCCCAGTGCTGGGTGCTGGGCAGACAGCAGTGAACAAGGTAGCCATGGCCTGTGCCTCGTGTCAAAGTGCCCACCCCACCCCGCACCCGTCTGTGTGTCTCTGAGGAAAGGAGAAGGAAATGCCTGTTTGTTGAGTGCCTACTCTGTGCCAGATGCTCTGCGAGTCGTGTTCCTGAGCTTTGCAGACCATGGAAGGCCTAAAAGGCTGTGCTAGGAAAGGGAACTTTACCGCGAGGGCAGCTTGAACAGCTAGGACTGTTTCAGGAAGCTTGATTAGGGCCATGGAGTGGAGGATGGCTTGGTGAGAAAGACCCAGGAAAGGGTTCCTACTGCCTCCGGGTCTCCATGGGGGAGGCTGAAAGCCTGAGAGCACAAGGAATCTAGCTATAGTGTTGGGCGCCAGGCACTGCGGCTGGCAGCTATTTGGGGACAGGATGGCATCATGGCTCCATCTAGGTCGGGCAGACCCTGCGGGGTGGGGGGTAGAGACCTGAGGAAGCCATGGCAGAAGAGGCGGATGCCTTCCAAACCTTGAGATGCAAGGTGACCCGAACCCATCACCAACCAGCTGGTGCGTCGCCCGGCATCTGCCCAAGGAATGTCCATGCTGGTGGATGCAGGGCCTTACTCATTTCATCTGTGATCTAGGGAAAACTGCTTCTTTCTCATACCTGCCCCAGCTCCAGGACCAGGGATCCAGGTCAAGTAGGAGGCCAAAACAGGAAGTCCTGCCCCCTGGTAGCCTCCTGGTTCCTCATGGGTGAGGATACCTGTCTATCTGGAATTTTAGCCCATCCTTGGATAACCACCTACCTAGAGATTGGATTCTGAAGGACTGGTAGATCAAGCCTATAATTGGATCCCTCTCTAAAAGGAGGCAGAGAGGGGGATTTTAATACCTTTCTATTGGTCAACAGTCACTTTTTTTTTTCAGGTCAGGCTTGAGGCCCCCAGGGTGCTAGTGGGATTCAGTCACTGATGTTCTCCTGAGGGAAAAAGTATGGGCTTCTAAGACCAGTGGTCAGCTCACAGTGGGGGCATGATGGGGTGCCCACCTCCAGGCTGCAGGGATATCCAGGGGGAAGGGGTAGCCTGTGGAGGGGACTCTGAGCCTCCCACCCAAGGGAGTGCCAAGGACAAATCCCTCCTCATGTGTCCGTCCTTGGTGACTCTCTCGGAGCCAGCCTTGCCCTACTCCTCTCAGGTTGATCAGACAACCAGAGCTTTCTCTGGCCTCAGACCCGTTCGCACGGTGTGAGTCATTTCCCCTCCCAGCCTCACTCAGTTCCCCTCACTGTGCCCTGTTCCCTGCACACACCAGGACTGTCCCCACCTTGGAGCCTTTGCATATGCTGTTCCCTTTGCCTGGAACACCCTCTCCTGTGCCACTTGGGCAACGCCTGCTCCTTACCCAGGTCCCAGCTCACTGTCACTTCCTCCAGGAAACCTTCCCAGGTCCGATTCATCTCCCTGTCCCCAGCCCCTCCCAACCAGGAACCTGGCACCGAGCAGGCAGGAGTGCCCACCTGGCCTCTTCTCTCTCTCCTTCGCTCACCTGCACTTGTTTTTGCTTTGTCCAGTTGCAGCTGAGCGGGTGTTCCAGGACTGCGCGGAGATCCAGAGCTTCGGGGCCAATACCAGTGGCGTCTACACCATCCATGTGGCCAATGTGACAGAGCCCAGAAAGGTTAGGGGGCTCTCGGGGGGCTGGGGCTATCAGAGGCACTGAGCCAAGGGCTTCGCAGACAAATCCTCCTCCCTCATCAACTGCAGGCCTGTCCAACATCTTAGATTCCAAAGAAGGTGAGGTGGCCCTTCCTTCTGGAAAAGAAGGGGTTCACACAGAAGTTCCCAAGTTGGAAGTGCATCCTTCTCCTGCATCTTCTCCAGAGATGCCTTTAAGTCGGAATCACAGGAAATAGTTCTATGTTGGTTAAGGTACTGCTAGCTGATGTAACAAACAACCCCTGGAATTCCAGGATCTTAACACAAAGAGGTTTATTTCTAGTTGACATATAGTCAGTGGAAGGCAGGAGTGGGGGCTCTCTGCTCCACTGGGAAGTTAGGGACTGTCTTCAATGAGTGGCTCCCAAGGTTGCCCTGAGCTTTGGGACCCAGTTATCAGAAGGGATGGAGCGGGGGGGGAGGGGAAATCAAGGGAAAGTGTGGAGGTCAGGAGGGAAGGCTTGGGGCCAGGCCCAGTAGGGGAAGGGTATGAGGAACAGTTTGCCAGTCTTCACACTTCATACTTCCCTCTTCCATTTCCTTTCAGCCCTTCTGAGTATATCGAGGAGAGTGGCTCAGTTTGTTTCCAGATTGTCTTTAACACACCTGCCAGAGTCCCCTTTTAGCAAAGAAAGACCAGGCTCTCCATTTCTAGCTAGAATTTCATAACACATTTTTTTCATTATATTTATTTGAAATGAATCTGAACAAAGACAAGTGTTATTAGTTTTCTACTTATGGTCCTGATAAGAAGTCCTTTTAAAGTAAACCTTCTATATGAAATTAAATAAATTGAGCTTTGGTGGAATTTGGGAAGGTGTGAATGGCTGAAATTTGGGCAGAGGGAAGAGCTGGCCTGGGAGGCAAGAGATCTGTGCTCAAATCTCAGCTTTACCTTAGACTCACTTGCTTCGAGCAAATCCCTTCCCCTCTCTGGGCCTCAGTTTTCCTCCCTGCACCCTCTGTTATCCTCACAACGATGCCACTGTCTTCTCTCACTGAGCAGGCCTTTACCATCTCAGAGCCTCTACTCCTGCTGCTCCTTCCACTGAAAATGCCAGGCTCATCTCTACCTGACAGGCACATTATCAACCAAGGCCCTGTTCCAATGCCACCTCCTCTGGGAAGCCTTCCAGGATTTTCCAGTGACTCCCTTTTGAGGGCTCTCCTTGTAGCTGCCCAAATGTTTGTCATCAATAGTCTGCCTGCACTATCCTAGCCTCCTCCAAACCAAGTCAGATGACAAACTGAGGGTCAGTGTACATCTGATCTGTCTCTGACTCTTCTGACCCAGGGCCAGGCACCAAGTTTATCTTCATTGAACAATTAACATGTAATGAACTGGAAAAAAATAATATGTGAACAAAGTTTAGACTGAACGGTGTGATTGTCATAGATGGTAAGCATTTTGAGAGACAGAACTCTTTCTGTCTTACCCATATTGGCATCCAGTGCTTTGAATGGAGTCCGGCCCATAGGACGTGTTCAGAAAACATTTGTCCACTGAATGGAATAGCATTTCTTGAGTCTATACAGTGTGCCAAGCACTTTACACTCATCAGCATTACCTTACAGCAGCTCAGCAACAATAGCGAGTGAAAAGCCTGCATTTATTTAGTTCCTAGTGCATGCGAGGCTCTGTTCTGTAGATGATTCATCTCATTTAATTCTCACAACTACCCCAGTTTGCAGACGAGAAACTGAGTTGCCAGGAGGTTAAGGTATTGATACCCCATTTTACAAATGAGGAAAGAAAGGCTCTGAGAGGGCATCACTTGCCCTCTAGAAAAATAATGACAATGGGAGGGGAATTTGAACCTGGGTCATTCTGATGCCCTTGACCACCAGGCTCACCTGTTGTTATGTGAGGTTCTGTTGGCCAGATCACGCTTGAGCTGGCCCACACACCTGGCATCTGGCTGCCTCTGCGGACTCCCAACCCCCTCTCCCCACCAATTCCCTCAGGTTTTCTGTGACATGGAAGCCAATGGAGGTGGGTGGACCCTCATTCAGCGCCGTGCGAATGGCAGCGTGAATTTTCAGCGGAACTGGAAAGATTATAAGCAGGTAACGTTGCTGCCTTGAGGAGGGGCTTTTCAGCCCTGAAACCTGGGGTGGCAGGCGGGTGTGGACAGGGGAATGGTTTGTCCTTAACCTTCCAAAAAAAAAAAATAGCCCACCCCAAACCAAACAACTTCAAACAAACTTTCCCCTGCACATTCACTTTCAGGGACTCTATGCTCTAAATTTAGACCTTCTTTCTGCAATAATGAAACTTTGACTCCTTTTTGTTTTAAATTTTAGAAAAGATGACGTATATATAGTGCTAAAAAAATTTGAATACTACAAAGAAAGGGAACATGAAAACAGCAATCTCTCTCTCCCACTACTGGCTGCATTGCTTAAGTGAATTTCCTTGTCTTTGTACGCATAGGTAACCACATCTGCAGGAGAGAACCTGTAATGTGGAATTGCTGGCTCAAAAACCAGGTGCATTTTACAAGATAAGAAGTAGAGCTCAATTGTCTTCCAATTTTTAAAATTAAATTATGAATAAAGGATTTCTGGCAAGCTGGCTGAAAAGCTCTTCTAGTTTTCAAAAGCAAAAGAAATGGACAAAGATACCCACAAGGAAACACAACAGTATTATTTTTTGTGCCTGCTTGCTGTCCGTTGGATAAATGCTTAAATACCAAATTAAGCTATGAGTATTCTTGAGTCTATTTGATTTGAAACAGTCATTAAAATAGCAAAGATATACAGGGTGCTCAGATCCAGAAATACAGAAAAGAGTGCTGCAGATTAACCATTACACGAATCAGCTGCACAGCAAGGCTAAAGTGGGGAGTGGGGCTTAGGTGCGCCTTGTCCTTGGTGCTGAATTAGTGTTCTAGCTGAGGACATTGATTTCTTGTCACCCTAGAAACCCGTGACTCCCTTTTCTTTACATGTCTATGTTGCTGGAATTTTGTAGTTGCTGCCATGTCACTGAACAGAGTTTGCTCTATCATTTTTGCAGTTGTTTAAAATCTTTAATTTTTAAATTGAAACTTAACCTAGATGCACTAAGTGCACAAACCTTAAGTGTAAAAGTCAGTGCATGCTTACATAGGTGCTCGTCCATGTGACCACCATTCAGATATAGATATAGGACACCTCCAGCACCCCGGAAGCCCTCCGTGGGCTCCCCTCTCCGCCCCAGTCAGTACTCGCCCAAAGGAAGTTGCTATTCTGACTTCTATTAACACAGATTAGTTTGACCTGTTCTTAAACTTAATAGAACGTGATTCAATTATTTTAACAGACTTTTGTAATTGCAAAAGTCTTCGTTTTTTTGCTCTAGAAGTTGGGGAGCTCCCCTCTCTCCAGTTCTGCCACACTGTACTTTATGAACTTGAGCATTAGGCCAAGTGGTTTTGGATAAGTGACCCCAGGCCCTGGCTCAGCCCAGCCCCTCAGCCTGGGGCATAGCCTCCCTCCTTGGCATACAGCCCACCCTGACCTTCATCTTCTCCTAGGGCTTCGGTGATCTGGCTGGGGAGCACTGGCTGGGCAACGAGTTGGTGCACCATCTCACCAGCAGGGCAGCCTACTCTCTGCGTGTGGAGCTGCAAGACTGGGAAGGCAACGAGGCCTATGCCCAATATGAGCGTTTCCAGCTGGGCAGTGAGGGGCAGCTGTACAGGTGGGCTCAGGGCCCAGGCTGGTGGGTGGACTGAGGACCCTGGGCTAGTGGCTGCAGAGTCTGCACCAAGGGTCAGTCCCTGGGCGTTTCCTGTTCCTACCATCTGTCCCCCATTTGGGCGCACGTCACGGGATGTGGAGGCGGCTGGTTAGCACTCAGCACATCCCAGCCACTGGGTGGGGTGGAGACTGTTGCTGATGCTGTCATCTCGTGAGCAGGAAGGGCCTTCCAAGGTCAATCACCCTAAGGCAGTCACTTTACAGAGGCTCAGACTTCCCAGCGTGCCCTGTGCTACAGGATGAGACGGAAAGGTCCCTGGGCTGGGAATCGGGGACCTGGGCTCATTCTGCCTCCAACTCACTTTGAGAGCTTGGATGAGTCAAGGTTCTGGCTTCTCTGCACCTCTGCTTTTTAACAGGATGGGCTTGAATATGAGCATATTTTAAAACTATCGAGGCCTCCCTCCATCAGCCTGGTTCTTGGCTCTGTTTAGGAAAATGAATGAGCATTTATTGGGCACCTACCATGTTCCAAGCACATTACTCTAGTTAACCTCCCACAACACTCTGAGCTAAGCATGGCTGTACCTCTTTGAGTGATGTGGAAACTGAGGCACTGAGGTGATGCCTGTAATGGGTGGGCATTCTCCAAGAGAGAACAGGAAGGACATCCCAGGCAGTGGGATGTTTGAAAAAGACAAAGAGAGAGTTGCCATTTGTTGGCCACAGACACCTGAAGCCTGAGCAAGGCTCTTTCCAAGTCTGCTGAGATGACCAGGGAGCGTCCCCACTCATTCAGGAAAAGCTTAGGAGACCGGGGTGGAGATCCTGGAAAGCACAGTGGGGCCTGAAACTGCCAAAGGAGGGCCAGGAGGAAAGTGACAGGGCAGACACTAGTCCCTGTGCAACCACCAGACAGGATCAGCCAGCTGGTAAGGTTAGGAGGATGCCCATAGGAAAGTCCAGAGGCAGCAATGCGTTGGCAGTCAGCAGCTGGGGCATGGGCATCAGGGGCAGGAGAGACACCCTTATTTGTCAGCCACAATAATGGGGGCTTCTGGAGTCCAACCCTAAGGAGAAAGTGGCCATGGGGAGGGGAGGGAAGAGGCACAGACAAGACACCAGGCGCGCACACACAGACACTGGGCACACGCCTCCTAGAGGCACTCACCGCCCAGGCCTGACTACAAGAAAGACAGCCATTCACACGTGCAGGACTCACCACACCCCTGGGGTACATGCAGAGCGCAATATCACACAAGTGCATAGCTACACAAACAGGACAGACACACCCGGACACGCGTGCAAATGTCCCTCCACAGAAGCCCTCGCAGGTAAACATGCACAACCCCAGGCACAAAGGCAAATTTCCAAGCACACCCTGGACCCACAATAGATATTCTAGCACAAACTCAACACACACACACACACACACACACACACACACACACACATACACGCACACACGCATGCATGCACACGCTAGACTGGAAGAAGGTATCACACTACAGACACATAGACCGGTATGCAGATCCACAGACACATGGAAGACACACCTGATGTTTCTAACTTGGGGATCCCCAGAGACTCGTGTCTTTGTTTGGGTTCCCCAGGACTGAGCTATGAACATATTCAAAGTGCATCTGAATAGCAGGTCAAGTGGGGTTTCCTGGTCCATGACTGGGGTCCCGCAGAGATCACAGAACCCTAGGCTGGCTCCCAAAGGGGAGAGGAAGCGAGGCAGAGCTGAGCGGAGGACTTGGAGACAGGAGAGAGGCCAGTCCAGTGTGGACAGCCCCAGACTGAGTAGCCTGTGCCCAGAGCCTGGCTTGGAGCTGACATCACTGAGCCCTCAGTGGCCACAAGGAACCGCCAGGACCATATTAGCAGGTAGATCAGCCTGCTTGTCCCCAGCCTGGGAGCCCCTAGCCAGACAGGCCTCTTGCCAGGGCCAGTTTGCAACACCAGTTGATTGAGCCCCAGGTGGCATGTTTAAGGGCACAGAGCCCCATGGCTGGCCACAGTGATCTAGACTCTAAGGGCCATGTGCCTGCCTCGCCACAGACAGTGCCTGTGGGTGGGAGGTTCAGGGACTGAGCCAGGCTGTATGCTCTGGCCCCGAGTTCCTTCTGGGCCCCACGGGGAAAAGCTCCAGTCTCTGCCCTGCAGAGCCAGAGTCCCTGAGCTGCCCTGGCCACATCTGGCATCCACCTGCCTTCACCTGGAGGGCCTTCTTTATTGCTCCCAAACTGGGTCCTTGTCTCCATGGCCAGTGCAGCCCCTTCCCTGCTACCAGAACCCAACACTCCAACCAGGCCTAGTGGGAGCCTGTGCCAGCTGCGTGCCAAGGGCCAGGAGCACAGGGGCAAACAGCAAGCAGCGTCACCTTGCTGAGCATTTATCACGGGCCAGCACCGCTCTGCACCCATCACACCCTGAAGTCATCAAATCACAATAGCCGATCGGCACCTTGAACACTATCATTACCACCTTAACAGATCATTACCACCTTAACAGATGAGGAACCGGAAGCTGAGAGGTGCAGCAGTCTGCCCAGGGTCATGCAACTGGCCAGTGGTGGAGCTGAGACTCGCAGCCTGGCAGAGAAATAGAGACCCTCCCCAGCCGGCTGCAGAGGTGGAAGTCATAGGGATAGGGGTTCACCAGGCACAGGTCCAGGTGGGCAGGTGTGGTCAGGGAAGGCCTCCTGGAGGAGGTGGGTGGGTGTGACGGGCTGGGGTTGCACATGGTCAGTGGGGGAGGAAAATGCACAAAGCTCCAAGCCAGGCCCCCCTGGGCTGGGATCTGGCTCCCACCCTCCTTCATTCTGAAACCTTAGGCCGGCTCCTCTGGTTCTTGGGACCTTTGTTTCCTTGTCTGTAGAATGGAAATAATTGAGTTTTGTGAGGATGAAACGGATGAGTTAAACCATGTAAAGTGTTTTAAACAATGCCTGGCACATGGTAGATTTTTTTTAAAACGTTAGCCATTGCCCTTACTGTTATTGTTGTCATGATCATGCTACTCCTGTGTAAGACTCAGGTTCATCAAGACGAGGGAGGCCTGGCAAAGGGTGGCTGCTCGGTCCCTGAGAGGCAGCAGGCAGGGAGTGCGAATCCAGGAGGGAGGTGGCCCACGCACTCCAGGCTGGGACTCCCCGCCCCCAGAACAACCAGCTCAGAGCCCCTTCCTCGACCAGCCCCAACCTGACTGCGCCCTTCTCCCACCACCACCTCCGGGTGGCTTCCAGGCTTTCTCTGAGCGGGTACAGTGGCTCGGCGGGGCCCCAGAGCAGCCTGGCCCTGGAGGGCACCAACTTCAGCACCCGAGACGCAGACAACGACAACTGCCTGTGCAAGTGCGCCCAGATGCTGTCTGGAGGTGGGTGCGGGGTTCGGGGAAGCCCATCCACCCACCAGTGGGAGACAGGAGACCCCCTGAGGCACAGAGCCAGGGACAGGTGGAGATGGAGGGAAGCTCCGGAACTGCAGAGACAGAGCGGCGGCAACAGAGAGCTACACGGGGGCAGAAGGACAAAGGAGAGATGAAGGGAGAAATGCAAGTCAGGGCAAGAGAAAGGAACACAGTGTGTGAGAGACAGAGAGCCGGAAAGGCAGAGAGGGTGGCCATCAGAGAGAGGAGTCCAGCTTGAGAGAGACCCACAGAGTGACAGACAAGCACAGAGACCATCAGAGAGAGAGACAACCCCAGGGTGTTGGAAACTAAGGTAACAGAGAGCATTGTCCCCACAGAGAGAGGGAGGCGAGAGGAGGCGAGGGAGGGAGACAGGAACACAGAGGGATTAGGGACAAGGTGAAGGGATGGAGGGGCCGAGAGGGGCAACTGGAGCCCAATGCCACCCTCCTGGGGCCCCAGGCTGGGCAGAAGGTCTGGGAGTCGCCCTCCCACCCCCATAGCCATTCCCACCAGCCCCATCCGGGGAGCTGACTTCCTGGAGGAGGCAAAGGCCTGCTTAGTCTTTGAGGTAGGGGGCTGTCCTCACCCCACTGGTGGGCCCCCAGCTCCCAAAGCCTCTTCCTCCCCTCCCCCAGGGTGGTGGTTTGACGCCTGTGGCCTCTCAAACCTGAACGGCATCTACTACCCAGCTGGCCGCCACCTGCGCAAGCTCAACGGCATCCGCTGGCACTACTTCCAGGGCCCCAGCTACTCGCTGCGGGCCACTCGCATGATGGTGCGTCCCATCGGCACCTAACAGCAGCCTCGCACGAAGGCTGGGCCACAGGAGGAGACGGACTTGCTATGCCCTGGGCAAGCTGGGCCCCAGCACAGGACACAGTGCCAGGGCCTGGACACCTGGATCTCCCAAGCCAGCCCTCCTCGCCCTACGAGTCCCCAAGAGTCAGCTGCCTTGCTTCCCTGTCGTCCTCAAGTTGTGACATGGGGGGCGTTTGGGGGTTCCTGTCTCTGCAGGACCCCTCTTTTCTCCAGTCTTCTGCAGGGGCCCCTGCCAACTTGAGGGTCACAGTACCCTGAATGAGCTGAGAACAGACACCTTGGCTCCTCCAAGGAATGCCTGGCTAGGGGGGGAATTTCAGGCAGGTGGGAGGGTAGTTGCAGGCAGGAAAGTGCTCAGATGGAGCCCCACATTCTAGCCCCAGGGTTGGTGGGAAGGCCAGCGCCTGTTCCAAGCCTTCTCAGCCTTGAGCTGTCCTTGAACTGTCCCAGGCTGAAAGGCCTGCATCTACCCCATAACAGGAATCATTATTTCCAACCCACACTGTCCATCACTCCCAGGCCCCAGCATCTGGAACTCAACCCTGGTCTCTCAAGGGCTCCAGGAGATCTAACAGAGACTTCCTTACCCCCAGCAGGTTCCAGAATATGTTCCACAGAGAATAACTCACACTTCCCCCTCAAAGTACCTCTGGTCAAGTGAGAGAGGAGAGCGCCAGGTTAAATCAATGTTGACAGGCATTCTTAGCTGCAGGACTTGTCAGAGCCTATAATGTGGTCATGTACTTTGTGACTGCCCGTGAACAGGCTAGAGTGGGCAGCTTTCTCCAAATTTGCTTATTTGAAAATGGGCTCTGCTTCTCCCAGAGCATCTCTCGGTGCGGTGGATGCCTCTGGAAAAAGCTAGTCCTCAAGTGTCATGAGGAGGAGCCCCAGGGCGCCACCTCCCACCCCCAGCGACTCATCCTTTCTGGCTGCAAACGCCACAGTGAAGGCCTCACGTAGTCTCTAAAACAACTGGAAAGAAATGTTGGATTAAAGCAGACACACACCATCCCTGAGTTTCCTGTCTGCTATGGGCCAGTGATCTCCCAGGCTCCTTCTGGCCCCAGGAAGCCAGCTCTCTGCCTAGGGCTGCCCTCAGCACTCCCTGTCAGCCCAGCTCACCCTCGCTCAAGTACAGGCACTACCAGGGAATGTCCACACTGCCGTGGGCAGGACACCCATCTGCAGGTCCAGATCCTCCCACGTCTAAGCCAGAACCCCTAGCCCTCTCCTCCTGCCCCATCCAACATGATGTTACAGCTGGGGGCCTGGGAGACCAAGGACTCCTCATGAGCTTCTGTCAGAGGACAAGGTCAGAGAGGAGCCTCTGCCACTCCCCCTTCACTGTGTCACCCTCTTCAGTCCCAATGAGGCCTACTGTGTGCAGTGTGGTACCGTGGGCAGGGCTTGGAGTTGGACAGACCTGCTCCAGCTCTTTGGACTTGAGGCCTGTGGCTCAGCCTCTCGCGGCCTCAATTATCTTGTCTGTGAAATGGAGGTGATGGCCCTCACTCCTGTCTGGGCTGGGGCAAGGTGGCGATGAGACCCTGTATGTCAACTTCTGACCAGAGCCTGGTATGAAGCAGGTGCCTAATAAATATTAGTTCCCAAAGAGGTGAATGGGGTGAGAAATTGCCTCTAGTGTATGTCATCCCTTCTGCTGGACCCAGTAGGGTGAGCATGTATTACTGTATCCACAGCATTTATTTGTGTACTGCTATGTGCTGGAGAGGAGTGGAGGGGGGAGCTGGGAGCCTCAGGGACAGACTCCTCTGTGTGGGGTGAAGGCCCAAATTCCTGTCTGCACCCCCGTTCTCTTAAAGGTCAAAAAGCTGGTTTGGTTACCCTCAGACACTTGTTTTTTGTTTGTTTGTTGTTTTGTTTTTTAAATATATTTTTATTGATTTCAGAGAGGAAAGGAGAGAGAGAGAGAGATAGAAACATCAATGATGAGAGAGAATCATTAATTGGCTGCCTCCTGCACGCCCCCCACTGGGGATGGAACACACAACCCAGGCAGGTGCCCTTGACCGGAATTGAACCTGGGACCCTTCAGTCTGCAGGCTGACACTCTATCCATTGATCCAGACCGGCTAGGGCCAGACACTTGTTTTTAAATAGTCACCCTTCCCTCTCACCTTCCTTCCCCCTCCAAGCCAGGACTCTCCAGTGCAGGGCATAGAAACCTTATCCCAAGGAATGGATTGGCTCACATAACAAGTCTAGAAGTGGATTCAGGTGTGGTTAGATCCAGGCGCTCAAATGATGTCCCTCTTCATCTCCCGGTTCTGCCATCTGCCATGTTGACTTCATTCCCATGTTCGGTCCTGACAAGAGGGCCCCACCAGCTGGCTCACGTCCTCCCAGCTCGGCATCTCTGAGACAGAGAGCTGCCCTGTCCCAGCGAGGGCATGATTCTCTCACGCCAGGACTGGCCCTGTGCCCATTCCTGCACTTACACTGTGATTCTAATTGACCAGACCTGGGTCACATGATCTTGCCTGGAACCAGGGGGTGCGGTCTGTCCCACCTAAGTCACATGGCAGGTGGACAAGCAGTGGGGAAACAGACATTGTTTCAGGAAGCAGCGATGCTGGGAAGGCAAGACCAGTGGCCACTTTTTCTCCATCTGTCTCTGACGTCCATCTCTTTTCTCTCCATCTCTGCCTCCCCTCCCATTCTCTCTGACTCCAAGGCCTGGCCCCAGGCTCCAGCTCATGCCCAGGTTGCCCCAGATTATCAAGGACACAGCTGTGTCCTGCTCAGGCAATGTCAGACCCTGGCCCTCTCTGAGCCTCCGTTTCCATCTGTGCAGTAAGAATGGAAGACGTACAGACCTCTAAGAGCCCTCTGACAATGATGCTCATGATGGCTGCACACAAGACCAGCTGAAGGACTCTGGGCAGCACAAAGCCTGTGGGGGACATGGCTGGTGTGGCCTTGGCCCTGCCAGGTCTCCTGGGGGCCACTGCTCTTAGGAACTGGCTTCTGGGATCCCTGCATCTGCAGGCTCCTATGAAGAATCCTTGTCACCTCTCCCTACATCAGACCAGTGTTCTCCTCATTTTCGTGATGAAGAAATTAGAGCTCAGAGAGGGAAAGGATTTCATTAAGGCAGCACAGGCATCTATAAGCTGCCTCCCTCGTCCAGAGTTCTCTGGAGGCATCTTGGCACTGAACATAGAAATGCTGGAGTGGTGTCCCCTCCACCAATATCAAGGACTGAAGGAACTTTCTGGAAAGCTCACCAAGACCTGTCTGTATTTCCCACTGGCACCTGGTAGGTCCTGGTGGAGCCAGGCAGACAGAGCACACTGTTCCTGAGATCTCTGCATGTTCCCAGCCACGGCTGAGGGAGGGCTCACTGTGCACACCCCAGAGATGGCAGCCATGGGCGGGGCAGAAGGTGGCCCTTTGCAGGGGGTATGGGAGCAGCCAGCATAAGGATAGATTGTCACTTGGGGGATTTGACCCCTTTTTCCGGATTGTCCAGCCCTTGATGTCTGTGTGAGCCTTTACCTCTCCTATTTAAAAATGTTTCAGAAGGCGATCAGTGTTGCCTTGGTGACCCTGGCAACAGCATAGTTTGATGGAGCAGCCCTTCAGAGAACGCAGTCTGGTCCAGGCCATGTCCAGCTTAAATGTGTTACTTTCTTGTGTTCGACTAATGTGGGAATACACAGCTGATGTTCTCTTGTGGCTTGAGGACAGGGAAGTCCAAAGGCCTTTAGTTTCTAACACATTCCAGCCCTACCTGGCGAGAACTCTCTGAGCCTCTCTGTCTGTGTTTGCACAATAAGGAGACTAGGATCTAGCTCACAGGGAAGTCAGGCAAGTTCAATGTATATCCATTCATGCACACATTCATCTATTCACATAGCAGCAATGTACTGAGGATCCGCCTGGGTCCAGGCCTGGATAGGTGATGGGGATGGAGCAGCAAACGAGATACACGTCCACAGTTCTATACACATAGAGCTTAACAGGCTTGAGGGACCGACGTCAAAACCAACTGTTTTTAATTTAAAAACTAAATTAACAAGTTAATATATTGCAAATGAAGACAATAAACAGGAGACAGGGTAAAAGATTACAGAGGGCCCAACTTAGGGTGATCAGGGAAAGCCTCTCTGAAGAGATGACACTGAAGTTGAGGACTAATAAGGTGAGGAAGAGGCAGCCAGGGGAAGAGCTATGGAAAGAATAGGCCCACTAGACTCTAGTGCAGCCGTGGGCAAACTACGGCCCGCGGGCCAGATCCGGCCCGTTTGAAATGAATAAAACTAAAAAAAAAAAAGACCGTACCCTTTTATGTAATGATGTTTACTTTGAATTTATATTAGTTCACACAAACACTCCATCCATGCTTTTGTTCCGGCCCTCCGGTCCAGTTTAAGAACCCATTGTGGCCCTTGGGTCAAAAGGTTGCCCACCCCTGCTCTAGTGACTAAAGGAGCAGCAAGTGCAAAGGCCCTGGGGTGGCCATGAGGAACTACAGGGAGGCCAGCGTGGCGGGAGCAGAGTGAGCAAGGGGGAAGTGGTGGGAGAATGTGCCCTCTGAGCACCTACATCAGAGACCACCTCCCACCCAAACACCTGCCCAGGCCTGGATGCAGCCACCACTCTGCCTGAGTCGCACTGAGGCAGAAGCAGCCACAGCTCTGGTAGGGGCTGGGTGGGCAGGGCCTTGGGTGCCAGGCTGAGAAGAGGACACAAGAAGATGCAGCCTTAACAGCAGGAAGCCAGTGCCCGAGGGTCACTCAGAACCCACAGGCTTTCTCCTCCTCCAATATGAGTGTGCAAACTTTCTCCCTCCAATATGAGTGTGCAAACTTTCTCCCTCCAATATGAGTGTGCAAACTTTCTCCCTCCAATGTGAGTGTGTGAACTTTCTCCCTCCAATGTGAGTGTGTGAACTTTCTCCTCCTCCAATATGAGTGTGTGAACTTTCTCCCTCCAATATGAGTGTGTAAACTTTCTCCCTCCAATGTGAGTGTGTGAACTTTCTCCCTCCAATGTGAGTGTGTGAACTTTCTCCCTCCAATATGAGTGTGTGAACTTTCTCCCTCCAATGTGAGTGTGTGAACTTTCTCCCTCCAATGTGAGTGTGTGAACTTTCTCCCTCCAATATGAGTGTCTAAACTTTCTCCCTCCAATGTGAGTGTGTGAACTTTCTCCTTCCAATATGAGTGTGTGAACTTTCTCCCTCCAATATGTGTGTGTGAACTTTCTCCCTCCAATATGAGTGTGTGAACTTTCTCCCTCCAATATGAGTGTGTGAACTTTCTCCCTCCAATGTGAGTGTGTGAACTTTCTCCCTCCAATGTGAGTATGTGAACTTTCTCCCTCCAATGTGAGTGTGCAAACTTTCTCCCTCCAATATGAGTGTGCGAACTTTCTCCCTCCAATGTGAGTGTGTGAACTTTCTCCCTCCAATGTGAGTGTGTGAACTTTCTCCTCCTCCAATATGAGTGTGTGAACTTTCTCCTTCCAATATGAGTGTGTGAACTTTCTCCCTCCAATATGAGTGTGTAAACTTTCTCCCTCCAATGTGAGTGTGTGAACTTTCTCCCTCCAATATGAGTGTGTGAACTTTCTCCCTCCAATATGAGTGTCTAAACTTTCTCCCTCCAATGTGAGTGTGTGAACTTTCTCCTTCCAATATGAGTGTGTGAACTTTCTCCCTCCAATATGTGTGTGTGAACTTTCTCCCTCCAATGTGAGTGTGTGAACTTTCTCCCTCCAATATGAGTGTGTGAACTTTCTCCCTCCAATGTGAGTGTGTTAACTTTCTCCCTCCAATGTGAGTGTGTGAACTTTCTCCCTCCAATGTGAGTGTGCAAACTTTCTCCCTCCAATATGAGTGTGCAAACTTTCTCCCTCCAATGTGAGTGTGTGAACTTTCTCCCTCCAATGTGAGTGTGTAAACTTTCTCCTCCTCCAATATGAGTGTGTGAACTTTCTCCTTCCAATATGAGTGTGTTAACTTTCTCCCTCCAATGTGAGTGTGTGAACTTTCTCCTCCTCCAATATGAGTGTGTGAACTTTCTCCTTCCAATATGAGTGTGTGAACTTTCTCCCTCCAATGTGAGTGTGTGAACTTTCTCCCTCCAATGTGAGTGTGCAAACTTTCTCCCTCCAATATGAGTGTGTGAACTTTCTCCCTCCAATGTGAGTGTGTGAACTTTCTCCCTCCAATATGAGTGTGTAAACTTTCTCCTCCTCCAATGTGAGTGTGTGAACTTTCTCCTCCTCCAATATGAGTGTGTGAACTTTCTCCTTCCAATATGAGTGTGTGAACTTTCTCCCTCCAATGTGAGTGTGCAAACATTCTCCCTCCAATATGAGTGTGCAAACTTTCTCCCTCCAATGTGAGTGTGTGAACTTTCTCCCTCCAATGTGAGTGTGCAAACTTTCTCCCTCCAATGTGAGTGTGTGAACTTTCTCCCTCCAATGTGAGTGTGTGAACTTTCTCCCTCCAATATGAGTGTGTGAACTTTCTCCCTCCAATATGAGTGTGTGAACTTTCTCCCTCCAATGTGAGTGTGCAAACTTTCTCCCTCCAATGTGAGTGTGTGAACTTTCTCCCTCCAATGTGAGTGTGTAAACTTTCTCCCTCCAATGTGAGTGTGTAAACTTTCTCCCTCCAATGTGAGTGTGTAAACTTTCTCCCTCCAATGTGAGTGTGCGAACTTTCTCCCTCCAATATGAGTGTGCAAACTTTCTCCCTCCAATATGAGTGTGCAAACTTTCTCCCTCCAATATGAGTGTGTGAACTTTCTCCTCCAACATGTGTGTAAATTTTCTCCCTCCAATATGAGTGTGTAAACTGTCTCCCTCCAATGTGAGTGTGTGAACTTGCACAAGTTACTTCCTCTTTCGGAACCTGGGTTTTCAGTGCCAATGAAGAAGGAATCTCGATACCTGTTTTGGCAAGGCTTTAGAGAAAATCTATCCATCATCATGAAAGACCTTCTCCAACATGGAAGACCTCTCCAAAAATGATGACCACAGCTATTTTCAATGCAGCCTCTGCATTTCCGGTCCTCCCTCCCCCAATTATTTCCTGTTTCCTGAACATTTGTCATTACTGAAACTTGGTAGCAGACACCTGGGAGTGGAACCCAAAATTTTTAGGGAAAATTTTAAACAGAGAGAAGCCAAGCCATGCATTTATTCTCTTCCTGCTGTTTGGAAAAGGACTCCAGGGTTCCACAGGAACCTAGTTTGAGAACGATAATCCACAGAAAGGTAAAGGAGGATGCTCCAAGCCTGACATCTGTGCAACGGGTCCTGTGGACTATACAGCAGCCGAGGAGTATAGCTCACATGAGCCCCTACCTGGGACCTTCAAGAGGAAAATGGATAAATAGTGATACATTCACACCACGGACGTGAGTATTCCCTGGGAAGGGAGACTAGGGCAGCCCGTGAGGTGCTAGGAGTGTTTGTTTCTTGACACACTTGAGGGTGACACACACGAGTTCTGTTTGCAAGAATTCAGCAAGTTGTGCCTTTATTTGTCCATGTTTCTCTATGTATGTTTCTCTGTATGTGGGCAGCAAGGATTATCTATCTTATCTAATAATAGACAAAGATTGAAATTGACCGTACCTTTGCTATGCCTCCCATTGGCTAATCAGCAAGATATGCAAATTAACCACCAACAAAGATGGCGGTTAATTTGCATACATAGGCGCGAGGTGGCGGAGCAAAGACTGAAGGCGGCTCCAGCCAGAGCAGCGAGGGCTGTGAAGGCGGCTCCAGCCGGAGTGGCACCAGTTTTCCTCCGGCACCCGGGACCCAGGCCTATTGCACGAATATTTTCGTGCAACAGGCCTCTAGTCTATATGTAAAAGCCCAGAGACCTTTATGGTAGAACGACCAGAACGACCTGTTGTTATGATACGCACTGACCACCAGGGGGCAGACACTCAATGCAGGAGCTGCCCCCTGGTGGTCAGTGTGTTCCCATAGGGGGAGAGCTGCTTAGCCAGAAGCCGGGCTCATGGCTGGCAAGCCCAGCAGCAGTGGCGGGAGACTCTGAGGCAGTGCTAAGGAGCAGAGAGCCCAGCTTCTCAGGGATCGAGCCTAAGCCAGCAGGTGGACATCCCCCAAGGGGTCCCAGACTGTGAGAGGGTGCAGGCTGGGCTGAGGGACCCCCTGAGTGCATGATTTTCATGCACCGGACCTCTAGTACAAATATAAATATACTATAAACACAAAGAAAGCTATGTGAAGAAAAATAAAGTTTACAGAGAAATTTGGCAATAGCTAATAAAGAATTCATATGAATTTACCCTTGCACACAGTAATCCTTATTTCTAGGAATCTGCCTTAAATATATATAATACCTGCACAGAGTTATTTATTGCAACTTCGTTTGTATTAACAAAAGATGAGGATCAGCCCAAATGAATAAAGTATGGTACATGTATTTCTCCATATCAAACTACCCCATCTTAGGGGTAGGGTTAATCCTGTAGCGAAAAACAAGAACATATTTTATTTTGCTCATGGATGCTGCAGGTCAGGAACTCAGACAGGACACTGAGGGGATGGCTTGTCTCTACTCCGCGAGGGCTGGGCTCAGCGGGAGGGCCTGATGGAGGGAGGTGTTGGGAAGCTGGGAGCTGTGGGATGGGATCAGCTGGAGGCGTTATTCCTGTGCCTGGGCTGGGCTGACTCACGGGCTGGGCTGGGGTAGACTGTTGCCTGGAGCACCTACACATGCCCTCTCCATGCGGCTCGGGCTTCCTCACAGCGTGACGACTGGGTTCTAGGACGCCTCCTGACTGCAAGCATTCCCAACGGGGCCAGCAGCATAATCTTCAGGGCCCAGCGCAAGATGAAAAGGGGGGGCCCTTTGTGCAAAAAGTAGGAAGAAAGTGCTAGTGGCGGTGCTGAAATATAAAGCTTTTCCCCTTCTTCTAGTCTCCCTCTCCCAACCAGTCGTGTGCTGTTTTATTTGCTGCTAAATGTTATTCTAAGTAAAGAAAACATTTTAATACAACTTATGTGCATGAGCTCTACCGTTCATCTTTACATAGTGCAACGATGGTGTTAAATGCAAACATAAGAGCACTGAACTCACACGCAGAATCACTGACGTGCCACCGGTGGTGTTTCATAACTCATGCATGTGTATGTCTATTTCATTCTCACCAGAACATGGAAATGCTGCGCCAGACTAATTGAATTGCTTTTCTTTCACTTCCGGATACACACACATTCTATCAACACTCTCTACTTCCTACCTGCTGGTGAGTAGGAAGACTGAAAGGAAAGGGAACAATGGGATGCCCTGTTTCCCTCTCTATGGCATCATTTTGAGTGTAAGTGGTTGGCCAACACAGGAAAGTCACATGAATAAGAAAGGATATGATAAGTTTCCGTGGTTGTCTGTGTTTCTTAGAATCCCACTGCCTTTTTCTCTGGCCAAAGGAACTGCTAGTTCGCACAAAAAGCATAGCCTCTGTGGGCGGTGCCCCAACTTAATCGTAGCCATCACAGGCTTCCCTTGTTCACACTGGGAGTCTCTCTGAGTGTCCAGGTGCTGCGGGTGCACCACGAGCCTGTGCTCAGGGGGCACTGTGAACACTGTATGTGAACGGTGGACATCCATCCGTGTGCATCTCTTCTGCCCATAGGCATGAGCCCTTGCCCCCCTGGACTTCACTTCTAATACACTTGTGTTCAAGGGTAAAATTAAGAATTTCAAGATGGTGACAGCAAGCAGCCAAGACAGGAGCCCTTCTGAGCATGGGGCCCTCCGTGCAAGGTAAGTGGTAATGGGAGCCGGTATCGAAAGGGCAGATGCTAGTAGGGTGGCAAGGAACTAGCGTACACAGCCCTTCACAGAGGCACATCACCATGGTCCCATCAGACTTCTCTTACAAAACACTAGTTCACAGATAAAGTCATTAAAAATGTCAAGACCACAGCAGAGCATTAAAACAAGTGAATAACGCTTCTGGCTCCTGTGCAACTAAATAGGTCACACGCCCAAGAAGCTGGTCCTGGCTCCCTGCCAAACAGGCAGACGCTGCATGGCCTCCTCTGACCTGGCCTGGAAAGTCAGTGTAGAAGCAACACTTCCACCCTATTATACGGTCAAAGCCGTCACAGAGCCCCAGCCAGATTCAGGGGGTTTGTGGTCATAGACCCCACCTCTGGGTGGAAAGAGTATCAAAGCACGTACAGCCTCTTTCGAACACACACACACACACACACACACACACACACACACCATTTTGGGTGGCACTGTGGCCACATAAAGATCCCATTTCCCAGGCTCCCTCGGTACTAAGGTGTGGCGTGTGGCCAGGTTCTGGGGATGATCTGTAAGAAGAAATGTCGTGTCAGGAAAATGGGAAAAATGGGAAAGCTGGCCAGACCAGGAGGTGAACCCCTATCCCCCCCTTTCCTGTGTCTGGGGTGCAGGTGTGAGGGTTGAAGCCTGGACCACAGGTGAGTGAGGACTGGGCAGGTGCGGCAGGACAATACAAGGAGGTCACATTTCTCTCCATCGCTTAGCTGCTCCCCAGCCCTCGACCACCTTTCACAAAAGAGAAGCAAACTTTTCTCTTACTTAAGCCGCTGTTGTTTGGGACATAAAATCTTAACTGAGACGCATTTTTCTCAGGGACTTGTGGGAAGACATGAGATCCTTAAAAAGGAGCCCAGAATGCTGCCTCGTGCCAACTCTGTTTAAAAGAAAGGGCTTTTTCGAGCAAGATTTTATTTTTTTTTAATTATCTCTCTGGCTCCGCACCATGGCTGGCATGATCATCTCAGAACCCAGATCTAATCAGGCCATTCTCATGCTCGCAGTTCCTCCCAAGGCTGCCCCGGCCACTGACCCCAGAGTAAAGAGTGATGCCCGGGGGCCTGCCCCCTCCCTGCCTGCCCAGCCCCCCGCACATGCACATGCCGTTGCCATCCTGTTTTCCGGGGGAGAGCCTGCCTGCGGACGAGGACAAAGGGAAAAGCAGTCCTGAGTCAAGCTGCACTTGCCCTGGCTCGCTGTGGACTTTTCAGCTCCTTGGGCCGATAAAAGTTCCGTTTTGCTCAAGCAACTTTGAGTTGGGACTCTGTCGCCTGCAGCTTAAAGAAGCCTGGATGGCACACGAGTGTGGCTGTGAGGGTTTCAGACGTCAGCAGCGGGTGCACAGGTGTCTTTCTTGGGCTTGGCCACTGAGCCGCGATGTGGTGACATGTACTGGACAACTGGTCTCGTCTTTTCTGAAAATCACAGACAGACAAAAGCTCCCAGAGCCCGGTTCTGAGACAATGCCTTCCCCTAAATTACGCATTGGACACATTCATGGGTGATGACTATGTTCATCATCTTGACTGAGGTGAGGGCTTCAGGATATATACATGTTAACACTCATCAAATGGTTCCCCGTAAGCATGTGCCATCTGTGGTGTGTCAATTTTACTTCAATGGAGCTGTGTGTTTTTTAAAGTTACTACATGAGACGTTAGACAAGATACAAGTCATATTTTGTCTTCATGCCTGGATTTCCTCAGACATAGCATGGACTGGACATAGAGGGTTGGCCCCTCGGTCCTCCCCCGGCCCAGCCTTTAGGGACAGAGCCCATGTGATCCCAGAAGTGGGGCTGAGGCCCAGAGAGAACAAGGGGTTTGGGTTCCCTTTTCTACAATATGCACTACACACCCCAACCCAGAAACAGATCCACACATCCACGTGCCTGGCGCCCGCCTCAGGATATTCACATGCATGTACACAACACCGAGAACGAGCCCACAGCAGCCCACAGGCTGCAAAGACAGCTGACAGGGTTTATAACGCAATCCACTCAATAGCTGTGTGACCGGAAGCTAGCTCCACACCCTCTCTGTGCCTCGTGTCCCCTTCTGCAACAAGACCTCAACTGAGAAAGGAAAGCAGCGCTGCCACTGAGGAGCTGGCCTGGGTGGTGGCCAGCAGGCCTGGGCGTTGCTAGGAATTGCCCAGCACAGGTAATAGCTGATGTCCTGTGAGCACGAACATTTTACAGATCACCCACATCAAACAAGGCACTCTGTGACTCATGAATCAAGACAAAAACAAGATCACTCTGTAATGATGTCTGAACACTAACCATGAATATTTCCAAGCCACAAAAATAACCAAACTGATGAACAAAATAGAGGCAGAGTCATGGAAGCATCGAACAGATCGCCCAACCTAAGAGGGAAGGCGGGGGGGGGGGGGGCAGGTAAGAGATCAACCAAAGGACTTGTATGCATGCATATGAGCATAGCCAATGGACCCAGACAGTAGGGGGGTGAGGACATGTGCTGGGGGGTGGGAGCGGCTGGGGAGAGGCCAGTGGGGTGGGTGGGAAGGAGATTCACGTAATACTCTAAACAATAAAGAATTTTTAAAAATAACCAAACACCTCCCCCCACCCCCTGTCCTGGCTCACAGTGACTGCACTGCTTTCCCACCTAACACTTAGCCTGGCTCTGCCTCCTCCATAGAGAAGACTTATCAAGACCCCAACCATATAATCACTCCCACTGCCTCACAGCATCCAATCTAGAAAAACCCACTTCTGTGAACTCAGAATCACCCGACACAAATCCTATAGGAAGCCCTTTCTATTGCCCTCTTACGGAGACACCCAGGGTTCCCAAGTGTGCAGTCCCTCTCTGCAGTCAGGGGTGGATCCCGCCTGGTTAGCTGCAGGTGAGCTCCTGGTGGTCGCAGGCCCGCAGGTATAGACAGAAAATCACTGACTTGTAGACGCTCATAAACCGAGGTCTCAGGTCCTGAAGCTTCTATTTCCCAAACAACTAAAATCTGAAACAAAATGACTGACTGTTGTCCATTTAGGATGAGGTTAGACTTCTTGTAACAGGAAACTCAAATCACAGACTTGCAAAAAGGAAGTGGTTTGGGCAGCAGGTAGTTTTTGCTACACAACAAACTGCCTCACAACTTAGCGGCTTAAACTAACCACTGATTTGCTCAGGACTCTGTGGGTGAGAAGTTGGACTGGGCTTAGTGGGGAGGGCGTGTCCCTGGGCCCATCACCCATCTGCAACCAGTTGCAGTCAAAGCCTCGCGCACGGGGCTGTGGTCTGTTTTAGGCGGCGGCAGCTGAGGTAACTGGGCCACAAGCAGCATCCTCTGGCAGGCAGCCTGCCTGGCTCACGTCCTGGTCTCAGGGTCCTACGTGCAGCAAGCCCCACACACCAGCCTTTTCGAGCTTTGGTCTTTTCCCATTGGCCAAAGCATGTCAAATGGCCCTGCCCAGATTCCAGGGATGGAGAAAGAGATTTAATTTAGGTCTTGATGAGAGAAGCTGCAAAGTCATGTTGCAAAGGGGTGAGCTCATAGGAATGGGAGGAATTTAAGACCTTAGTTGCAAAATAACTACCTCAGTTTTTCTCTTGTGTTAAGACATCTGGGGAGCCAACTGGAAAGAGCTCCCAATGACCAAAGGTGGAACAATTTGAGGGGGAAATTAAGTTGTACTGGATTGTAACCCAAAGAATAAAATAAATACCCATGTGTTCATACTGATATTAGAAAATAAATGAGATAAGATGAGTAGAAAAGACTGACCTCCCGTGCAGAAGAATTCCATGTAATTTATGTAGAGACTCCACCCTCAAGAAGGGAACAGAACTCCCAGCCCTCCCGTGTGGACCATGCACAATCACCTGATTCCCAAGAACACAGCACGGAAAGGCGGGAGGAACTTTATGGTGGAGAAACGGATAGTGATCGAAGTTTACATCCATCCTGATAAGTCGTGTTGATAGCATCTGCCCTTCGTGGAACAGGAGAAGAATGCCACTTTACCTGTGTAGCCGTCTCCCCAGAGCACAGTGTCCTGGTAGGATCATAAGAAAATCGTCAAAGCCCAGTTGAAGGACATTTTACAAATACTTACCAAGGTCATCCAAAGCCAGAAACGTCTGAAATGTCACAGCCGAGAGGGGCCCAAGGAGATAAGATCACTAAGTGCAATGTGGTGTCCTGGGTGGAATTCCAGAACAGAAAAGGGACACCTCAGGGAACAGGTCATCTGGCTGAGGTACGGACTTCCTCCTTAATAACAGCATAACAATGTTGGCTCATGAATTGTGATAAATGTACCATACTAACATAAGATGTCAATAATGGGTTTGGGGCATCTAGGAACTTTCTGTACTATCTTGGCAATAATTCTGTAAATCTAGAACTGTTCCAAGATTAAAAGTTTTGTGGGGGGGGTTTTAATTCTGAAAAAATCAGTCCAGGCCAGGGCTGATGCCATCTCCATGGGGTCATCAATGTCAAGGTCCCCTCTAGTTTCATGTTGTTTCGTCTTCCTACCTGGCTTCATCGTCAAGGTCACTTCTAGTTCCAAGATAGCTGGTGGGGCTCCAACCGCAAGGAGTGAGTCCCATGTAGGAAGAAAAATAGCCCGGCCAGCATGGCTCAGAGGTACATTCCATGTACCAGGAGGTCACAGTTCGATCTCCGGTCAGGGCATGTGCCTGGGTTGCAGGCTCGATCCCTTGTGTGGGGCACGCAGGAGGCAGCTGATCTCATCATTGATGTTTCTCTCTCACTCTCCTTCTCCCTTCCTCTCTAAAATCAATAAAAATATTTTTTTAAAAAAGACAGGTACATCGGCTTTCCTCCCAGCTGCATCAGCATCTTCCAAGGATACTTCCCAGAGACCTCACCTCACCACCTCCGCTCCCTGGCCACCAGCAGCTACAAGAGAGGCTGAGAATGTTTGTTGTTTGCCTGGGTACATCATAACCCAGGAATAAAATGAGGATTCGCTCCAAAACAGTGAAAGGAGAAAAGGAAAATGCAAAGGCAACTAGCAGTCTTTCAAGAGCTCTTCTAATTCCATTTGAGAGTTGAGAAAAACTGAGGCTGAGAGAGATTGGGTGACTTGCCCATAGTCTGAGGACTAGGCAAGAAGGAAGATGAATTTGAACCCAGAAATCATGACTCTTAAGCCCATGGCCCTACCTACCAAAGTATGGTGCCATGGCATCAAGGTAACCACTTTAAGTTAGTGACGAACACGATGTCGCTTTGCTGAAGCTGAATAGTCACCGGCAGTGTGAATACGGGACATTCAGCTGTGTTGCCGTTCCTTTCGGGTCACACTCCCTCCCAACTCTGCGTCTCTGTGTTCTGATGACTGTTTCTCCCACCATTTGGTTCTATTTCACCCACAGTGAAAGCTGCTTCCCACCCTCTACTTCTGCACTGATTGGACCTTACTTAGCAGGAATTTATCTTTACACGTCAGCCACCTCTGCCCTTTCCTCACCACCCAGAGATGTTACCGTGATAAAGCATAGTGATCAAGATCACAGGCTCTGGAATCAGCCTGGCTTCAGATTTTGCCTACACCCCTTAATCGTTGTGCGGGTTGATGCAAGTTACTCAATCTCTCTGTGCCTCAACTTCTTGATCTGTGAAATGGGAAGATAATAGCACCTCCTATATGCTTATAGAATTGTTGTGAGGTTTAATGAATAATACACCAAAAAAGCCCATAGTTAGTTCTCAATAAACGTTATTTTTGGTGCCAGTGTATTCTTTGACCCCAAGTTCAAATACAAGCTCAGGTAAGATTCACCGTGGGTCATGCAGATGATTCATGATATGTTTGAGTTCCTTTTTTGTGGTATCATCAAAATGAAAGCAAACAATTTTAAAATTCTTATGCAAAATTCATGAGCCACCATCCCTGACTCATCCCCACATACAGGCTTAAGAAGCCCTGACTTCCAGCCAAAAGCACAGGCGTTTCAGTCTGGCTCAGAATCCAGTTCTGCCATGACATTGTAGTGTGACCTTGAACAAGTCCCTGGCCCTCTCAGGGCTCAATCTGCTCAGCCCCCAAACGTGACTTCGATGTTATTACTGGGCCAAACGCTACAAGTGGTTGGGAACGGAATCTGTGGTCCATGAAGTGCGTGGGGACCTGGGTTTCATCTGAGGCAACAGGACCTGCTACTAATTAGAGATGAGCTTCCTGCTCCAAGAACTGCCCCCTCGGGGCTGGGATTTGGAGGACCTGGAGCGCTCCAGAGTCTGCCTTAAACCTGCTGTGTGGCTTTAAGGAAAGCCCTTCCTCTCTGGTCCTCAGTTTCCCCATCTGCTCATTGAGGGGCCCCTGGTTCCCTTCAATCAGATCACACAGAGAGGCTCAGTAACTTGCTCAAGGTCACACAGCCGATAGGTCATAGAGAACCAGATTCCAGTCCAATGCTCCTTCTGCACAGAAGCACCCCACAGTTACCTACACAGACCTGAGGGGTCACTGCTCCACCCCACAGACTGCCCTCAGCCCCCAGCAATGCTGTGTCCTCCCAGTCACCACATCGACCAGGGGGTGCGGGGTGGCAGACACCAGAGAGTTACCCACCAAGGAGCCCATCGGTGGTTAGAGGAAGTGGCTCCTGGGATGGGAGAAGAGCAAGCCCTCAGCGTGCGTCCCCCTCGGGGGCCTCCGGGGCTCAGAGGCAGAGCCTGTGGCTGTCCTCTCCGGGGCACTGGCCGGGGATGATGCATCTCCAGCCTCCCCCTGCCTCTGTGCCCTCAAGTTTCAAATTCCCCGGAGAGACTCTTGCCTGCCCAGCCTGCAGCCGGGTGTCTGTCAACACCAGGGAATCGGCTGTGGGCAGAGGACAGCATGCAATCATCAAGCATGGCCAGTGGGGACGCGGCAGTGATGCCCACCCAGTTTGTGTCTGACTCACATTCCCACCTCCGGCCATTTGCACGAGCTGTTGCCGTCCGGTAGAGAAAAACAGGAAGCAGTTCCTCGACCTGGGAACAGAAATAAATGCACATTTTTGTTTTACAAAACCTGCCTGCAGCTTTACTGCTTACAAGCCCAGTGCTGCTCGGGGCAGGGGCTTAGATGGGTGCAGGCCAGAGAGTTGAGGGAAAAGAACTAATGTTGTTTTCCCAGAAATGTATGCAGAAACAAAAATGTTCCCAGCCCACAAACATTTGTCTCCAAGGAAACCAAACTTCCCTCACCCCGGGAGGCTCTGCCCTGCTGCCCTTTCCAGTAGGCATGACCAAACTCACACGCTCCAACGATGATCATGAGGGTGATAAAGCTGACATTTTTGGAGGCACTCAGCTGGGTATCTGACCTGCATCTCCCACGTAATGGTAGGTATGATCAGTAGCCCTGTTTTGCAAGTGAGAAAACCGAGGCTCAGAGAGCTTAAGTGATTTATCCGAGGTCACACGGCTAGTACGAAGCGGAGCAGAATTTGAACCCTAAAATGGTCGATTGTGAGGGTCCCCAACACAGATCTAGGGTACAAAATCATTTAACAAACAGGGGAAGAAAAGGCCCACAAGAAGGACGCGGTTGGAGACATGCATTTGCACATTGACGGAGCTTCTGTCCAGAGTTTCCTGTGCGGCCGGGAGGAACGCATCCCTGCTCCCGGTTCACAGATGTGGAGCTCAGCATGGGAAGTCCCTAAACCAGGGTCCTACGGCTGACGACGGCCGGGCTGGGATGCGGGCCAGGATCCCTCTGACCTCTCCCCTGAGTTCCCAGACTCCGTCAGACCTGGCTCCTGCACACTTGGGCCACGCTCTCTGTGGGGGTGGGGGCGCTACCTCCTGGCCACCTGAGGAGCCAGATGGGGAGCCTGCCCGAGCTTGCTCCCCAGGAGATGAGGCTATTCAGTGGGTGGCCGGAAACCAGCTCTCTGGGGGGCCAGTGCCCCCACAGAGGAAGAGTTAGCAGAGCGGCTGGTACCGCAGCCTCTGAGGGGATGAGAGGCTGGGCCTGGCAGAGCCTCCAGGGCGGGGGCAGCTTCTGCCTGACATCACCTCCCTGCAGGGACAGGTTCACGTCCCCTCTGTTCTCTGGGCTATAGTTCCCCATCTGCACAGGTGGAGGTTGGACTCACGGCTGCTAAGGACCCTCTTAGCTCTGACATGGTGGCATCCTAGGAAGCCCGAATTATCATCTACTGCTGAGTTAAAAATGATCACAAACGTGGGGACTGAAAGCAACACTCTCACAGTTTCTATAGGTCAGAAGTCTGGGTGCAGCATCTCTGGGTTCTCTGCTCAGGGTCTTACCCGCTGAGATCAAGCTGTGGCCGGGGCTGTGCTCCTCTGTGGAGGCTCAAGGTCATGCGGGTGGTCAGCAAAGTTCGGTTCCTGGTGGCTACCCGTCTGAGGGACCCATTTCCCCCTGGCAGTTCGCTGGAGGTCACTCTCAACTCCTAGAAGCCACCTCAGGTCCCTGTGTCCCTCACCTCCTGCAGCAATACTTCCCTTGTAGGAGATTCAGAAACTGACACTCCTCACCCTCCGCCCCCTGCCCCCCATCCAGCTCTTGCCTCTCCTGCTAGGACTGTTGCAGTAGCCTCCTCGCTGACCTCCCTGCTCCCTCCCTTGCTGCCCTGCAGCCCATTCTCCATTGGCAGCCTGGGATAGGCCTGGGATGGGGGAAGGGTATTAAAATACAAGTCTGATCCTGTCCCACCTCTGCTCAGAACCCTCCATGGGCTCTCAGCATAAAAGCCAATGTCCTCACCATGGCCTACACTGTCCAGCACTGACCCCACCTTGTGACTCACTCCACTCCCGCCACACTGATCTCCACGCTGCTCTCAAACACACCAGGCACAGCCCCTTAGCTCAGTTCACCCTGCAGACCAAAGCTCTACGAGGCCCCTCTCCTCCTTCCAGCCTCTGCTGACGTGTCCCCTGGTCAGTGAAAGCTGCCTTGACTGCCCTCCTTAACAGCAGCACGATCCCCACTTCTAGCTAAGTTACCACTAGGCCCAGCCAGTCCACTCCTGGCACTTACCCAAGAGAAATGAAAACATGCGCACACAAGATGTACACAAATGTTCAGAGTGGCTTTATTTGCAACAGCCCAAAATGGGAACAGCCCAGATGTCCATTCAACAGGCTGATGAATAAACCGGAATGGGCCATCCATAACATGGAATACTACTCAGCAATACAAATGAACACACACACAACATGGATGAACCGTCAAGGTATGGTGCTGGAAGAAAGAAGCAAGATTCCACCTGCATCAACCTCAGACGAAGACAAACCCAATCGACAGTGAAGGAAAACTGACCAGCAGTTTCTGTGTGTGTGTGTGTGTGTGTGTGTGTGTGTGTGTGTGTGTGTGTATTGATTTTAGAGAGGAAGGGAGAGGGAGAGAGATATAAACATCAATGGTAAGAGAGAATCATTGACCGCTGCCTCCTGCACACCCCACATTGGAGATCAAGCCCCAACCTGGGCATGTGCCTTTGACTGGAATCAAACCCGAGACTCTTCAGTCCGCAGGCCAATGGTCTATCCACTGAGCCAAACAGGCCAGGGCCTGTCCAGCAGTTTTTAGACGGGAAGTGGGTAGGAGGCAGGGAATGGCTGCCAGGGGGGCCTGAAGGAACTTTACAGGTCGATAGGAATAGGCTATAACTTGTCTGAAGTGGTGGATACACAGATACATACAACTGTCAAAACTCACTAAACTGTATATCTAACATGGGTCAACTTCATTGTTTATCAATTATACCCCAATAAGAAGGGGGGAGCCTAGAGTCCCCCACCTCTCTTCCTTGCTTCATTTCTCTCCACAGAATTTCCAGTCTCTGGTGGGTATTGCCTATCTCTCCACCTGAATGTCAATTCCACAAGAGCAGGATATTCTATTTATTTTGTTATCTGCTGTACCTTCAGTGCCTAGAAGAGAATTGGCACATAGCAGGTCTTAATGAATATTGGATGGATGGATGGATGGGTGGATGGGTGGATGGGTGGATGGGTGGATGGGTGGATGGATGGGTGGATGGGTGGATGGGAGGATGGGAGGATGGGTGGATGAGTGGATGAGTGGATGGATGAATGTGTGGATGGATGAATGGGTGGATGGGTGGATTCAGCTCTGAGCCCAAAGGTTCAGAGCTCGTTGATGTGCCCACACACCCACCTGGAGGTTGCAAGACAAACCCCAGCCCAGCAGGGCCTGTGAGACTGTGGGAAGTGTCAGCCTTCCATGTGGCTGCGTCATCACTCAGGCATTTAGACACCATTCCTGGAGCTGTGTCATGCCCACCACCAACCTTGGCAGGAGGCCCAGCCTGGAACCTGATGCCCATTGGCTGGGGTTTCCTGTGGGTGCTGTATGTGTGGAAACCAAAATATTACCGTAGAGGGTGGAGCCACAAAACCAAGTTGGGCAGAGCCTAGAATGCGGTTCGTGGTTGCC